CAAAACATAATTTAGAGTGTTAAGACACCTCTGCAAAAATTACTTCAATTTTTTGTTATACCGTAAAATACTTTAAGATACTGAATGTATCTAAAAAAAATAGTGTTAGATATACCTTAACCTTCCCTAAAACCAAACCAAAATGAAGCCTGTGAACACCCTTAATTGTATTCATAACACAAAAATTCAAAAAATCGAAAATTAAAATCTAAGATCCTAGTACCAAGAAATCAACATCGTATAAAGGTAGGAACTACCGGTTCTTCGTTGCTTGGCCTATATGTAAGTCATTGAATGACACTTGCCAAGTTGATCGTCATGGTCAACCCATCTGAAATTACATCCAGAAAACATAAATGATTCTCCTAAATCAATTTTTGGAGGTCAACAATTAAAGAAGTGCGTGGAAAAGATTGGGGGACACTTTACTTCCCCCCCCCCCTTTTATCTTTCATTTCATCTTTATAATAGGGGAATTGGAATAAAGGATACAGTGGTCCACTGAACTTGAGAAGGAAGGATAATCATTTAGGTTCCACTGGTTAAGAACATTAGATAATTAACGTTATTGGGCTATACGTGATGTGATATTATTAGCCTTGTTGATGAATTAGCTCATAATTAATAAGATCTTTGAAAGTTCATATATTGAAAACAATTATTAGTTATACAGTTATCTAAACTCTGACATAAAGGGCACAGCAATGAATCAAGAATTCTTAATTAATTGCACACAGTTCGATCCTATCATTCGATTTTTAACATCTATTCGCAGGTAGTAAAAAGCTATGGCTTTATCCTTAACAAAGTAAAAGTAACCGCTTTTAAATAGAATTCTCTTCGATCCACAAATGATAGAATTATTCCATGATTACAATAATTTATTTTAATGTTTAACACTTTAACTCACCACATTATGGCAAAACCATTTCCTTATAACTTCGAACTCAAATATATAACAAAATATGGATATCTTAAAAATTGCAATGATTAATTAATTTAGAAAATATATCAAATTCACCGAAAGCTGCTTCCTTTTCTTTTTTACTTCTTTTTTCTTTTTTTGTTCGTTAGAAATAAATTCTTTAATTTTCATGATATGCAAGCCGTTAAAAAATTTATATGCTGAATTAAACTTAATTTATATATGGTCGACTACTGTGTGATTGAAAGCATATTGTATTAATTTGTCATGGACAAAAATTCAGCCAAATTCTCTTGTTATTAAGGAGAAATTAAAAATATTCGAGTTCGACTTAAAAAAGTCGGTCAATGACTTGCAAGCATTCAAAGGAGAGTGGTTTAACAATGCAAAGAAGGATTCTTAACGGAGAGGGACAAAATAATTGACTTAATTAATGGTGAGAATTTAAGAAAGCGAAGAGTGTCTAAAACCCAAAGTGTAGTTTTTATAATTATTTCAATAATTAAAAAGCTCTATTGTCATATTGTTCATATAAATCGGCTGAGAAAATGCCATCATTCCAGATAGGTTAGGAGCTCCATGCATAAAGCCTACATCGATCCAAAGAAGGAATAAAAAGCAAATTCTCATACACACACACATAAATATATATATATATATATATATATATGTATGTATGTATAGAGGCATAGATATATCATCGTTAGAAACAGTAGTGTTTAGTGACAAAGAATCTAGATCTGCATAATAACTGGTCTATGTGTCTAAGCCCATACTGTTGCTGAATGGCACAGATGGAAAAGTCAAAACCTTATCAGATCCGCCATGAAAGCACAGTGAAGAAGAAATAAATATGCAAGAAGAACAGATTCTCAGTGACAACGCCATCTCCAGAACATGAAAACCCACTAGTAGTCTCTGACCTTCTTTATATGCTATTCCCACAATAACATTGGTCAATCAAACAGTTACATCTGAATAATTAAGGATAGAGACGAGTCTTTGGTCCAAATTATAAGAATGTCGTCTCTGGGTAAAGGAACAGTGTTCAAAAGTTGCAACCCTTTGACGTTGTGAGGCTGTAAATAGGGTTTCAGAATGGAAGTGAAGGGCATGCATGAAGATTGAAACATAGAACAAATGAATTGAGGAGGAGACCGAGTGTGAGCCAAGGATGACTTGCCGGCATACAAAATTCCTGAATCTGGGTATTGTTGGCAAGCGTCCGGGCTCACCTTTGCTTCCTTTTCCTCACACACACACACATATATCTGGGGGGGGGGGGGAGAGAGAGTCCTCACATATATATATAGAGAGAGAGAGCGAGAGTCGTCTCTCTCGCAAACAGAAGCTCCAGTGTTGTCATTTCTGTAATATGAATACTTGTCTCCGTTGGCAGGTATTTACTGAATGATCATAGGAACGTAAGAGTATTTATTCAAGTTCTCTATGCTTCTATTACTTACTTTAAAATCAACATTTTTATTCTGGTCAATTTCTTTTTTAAAAAAAAAGATGATTTAACACGTGTATTTGACCACGCCAGCCTGATTTTCATATTAAGGGACACCATATTCATAAATATATTTATGAATGATGTGGCTCCTTTTTCAACGACGTGTTTATTAATTAGTTTTGTATTTAATTTGAAAACTTTTAGAGTATTACATTCATAGGCTTTTTTTAAAAGAAACTTATATACCTCTTCTTTAATATAATTTTCTTTTGTTATAGTAAAACTGTTTAAATGGTTATAGACATTAACCCACACTTCACTTTTTACACCTCAACTTGCTTTAAGTTTCAGTATAATTCTCCTATTGTAGGAATTTATATATGTTTAACTCACACTTGAACCCTACAATTCATTTATATATAATGAATTCAGGTGAGAAAGAGAAACCTTTGGGCTAGTTAGTTAGAAGTTGCTATACAAATTAGAAAGGTTTTATTAGTTGTCACTAGTTTGTCTCAAGCTTATGGAACTATATCACCATGTACCTCAAAAAGCTAGATCAATGAGATGATGAAGAATTGAAGGTGTTGGAAGGAAAAGGATCTGGATTGTTCATTGACACACTGCACAAATGACAAAATGATATGTACACTTTATCCTTTGAATTTTTTTTCCTTTCCCTTTGGGACCAATTGAGATAATTCCCTCAGAACTTATTTCTTAATTGAGCTCTGTTTTGTCATAGGTGCTTCCTTTCTAGCTATACCTTCTTATCATATATAGTTGCCTTTCCTTGTGCTAAAAAGCTTAAAATGAAAAATGGATCATAGATAAATATAGAGAGCTCATCAAATGAAAGCAAAGTAGGAAAGTATGATTGTCATATCTTCTTTTTTATACTATCTCTGATCCTAATTATGAGATCTCGTTTATAGTCTACAAACGAGGTTTTATAATTAGGACTGGAGGTAGTATATAAAAACTAACAAGGCCATGCAAGTGGTCAAGATATCTTAAAGTCATGTCAAAAAAGGGGGGAAAAAAACAAATAATCCATGCACTGTAAATAAATCATATGATGGCTTTTTGGTTAGGCAATATGTACAGTAAGTAATTCTATAAATATTCTTAGAGCTTAACAGCATTTATTAGTCTTAGTAAGCCTTTGAGATTCAACTCATCTTACAAAAAAGGATCAATAATAATCCTAATGAGAAAATTATCAGAACTCATGAGCAAGCTCCTAATCCTAATCCATCTCAGCCATTCGTTTGATTTTATATTGTGAACCAAAACAGATAGAAAGGATTCTTACTAGCTACAGTGTTTGGTATTTATATTGAAGGCATTTCAAGAAATCTGCAGTGCATGTGAAAACTTTTTGAAGAAGGCGTGCCAAATCAATTCTAATAATTTGTCCTGCCTCCACATCGTGACACCGCTTCAGTATTCTTTAGCATCTGCACAAAGTTGGAGGATTTTGCAATCACACTTTAGAATTTCTTTAAGAAAATAGAAAATTAATCTGCAATTTCATTTAATTTTTAATCACGTTCCTAGTTTTTTTTTAAATTAATCAGGACCTTATAATTTTACATTTTTTTAATCAAATTTTTGTAGTTTTTTTCTTATCAAGTTCTTCCAGTTCACCTGATTTTTAATGAGATCTATGTAATTTAGAGTAACGGATAAAATTAATTTAGGGTAACCTTATATAGAAAGAAACAGAGCATAGCGTAGCCTATGACAACTTGCCAAGTGAAACCAATGTCGAAGCGCTTAGCTTCACATTATCATAACTAGCCAAATCAGCCAGCAAGTCATTCTTGGCTACAATCTACCCTATACCTGCTTCCTGCATATCTCTATATCTCCGCCAACTGGCAAGGTATCCATGATCTAATTGTAAGAGATGTACATATAGCATAACACAATATTGTTAATTCAAATATTCACTAATCATAAATCCCCATTGAACACCAAATAAATGAACATGGCCCTACCACTAATGGTTTGACATGAACGGGGAAAGATTGGCTTTTCGTTTACTTAAGCTCTCTGCATTAGCTTAGATATGGGATTATTTATACTTTGGCTGCCAAAACATTCATTTGCATCAATTCTTTTTAAAAAAAAAAAAATAGTGTGCATCAATTCTTTTTAAACTATGCGGTACGCGGCTTGATAAGAAGTCCTGCGTTACATGGACTGAACTCAAGAATTTGATTCTTTGGGAGGCACAAAATAAGCTGTCCATAGAATCTCATTTTTAGGCCGCACTCTTTATCTGGGATGACGGCTACTTCATTTTACGATCCAGTCTCATTAATTAATTGACTTTGTCCTTCAATCTCATCCCCTACGTAAATGGTGAAAACTATTCATTACTTTTACTTTAATGAGGTTAGCATTCTTCAGAAAGCAAATCTAGGTGCAGCTCTTAAAACGTTTCTTCTGAAATGTGCAAAAAATAACGTTAATTCAAATAAATCAATAGTATAGTGTTGAGTAAAATAGTTGCATCTCATATAACTTGATACTGACAATAAATACAGAGAAATGACAAGGAATATGATGCTTTAATGAAATATACTACAGCAAAAGATAATACACTTGAGATAGATTGATGCTAAATAAGTGCCTGCTTCTTTTATTAAAAATAAGTACAACCAGAAGGCACATGGAATAGGTGAAACATGTGATTACAAAAAGCAAACCTCGACGCCTAACCAGACATCTTCGACAGGGGTGACTTTCCTTCATTTTCCCCCCAAATGTGTTGATGACCTAGCTCCTAATAACTAGAAAAACAGGTGAAAATGCTTCATCATCTTACATATACCTGCCTACAAAGTTATTTTCAGCTTATACCATAGGTAAGTCAATGTGCCTACTTGGCGATCTCCAGCAGAACTGCTTGGTCAAATTGAGGTTTCCCTAATTATGAGATATCTTCAAATTATATATAAGATGAGCAATACCAAGATGTTACAATATATATGCAATTTCTCGTGAGGATTTTTGAGCTCTACCTTAGTCAATTCTATATCATGCATTGCAAGAAGACACAAGCTGACAATGGTTTGCTTAGGCCAGAGCCAGCTACACCTGTTCTGTAATAATTTCGGATAAACCTCCAAAACCCACCCCTAAACGCCCATGCTTGCTACAGCATTCCTTCATGTAGCTCTTGCAACACCCACCAATATTTCTCTTGTCCAAACTAATACAAGCATGCGCCATTGGAAACTCAATGGGTTCCCTTGAAGAGCCCTCACAACATGCACCAACTTCTATCTCATTTGAAGACAGATGCGCGCACACAACAGGACATTCGTTACATTCGTCTGGACAGCTTTTGCAACAAGAACCTTTTTCTTGCTCTTCCGAATTCCCAAAAGCGTGCATTGAGGCTGATTCAATGTGCTTATGTTCCATGATACCAGCTACATGATCGTCTCCACAGACCTTAAAGTCAGATAGAGGCCCTGGAATTTGATGCTTAATTTCATGATTGCATCTTATTGTCTTTCTGAGATTATGATCCTCAGGAATTTCAAAATCAGTGATCAAGTGGCAGTGTTTATTGCTGCACTGTTGGCTTTCTTTCTCTGCAGAAAGATTGAAGTGGCAGGGAGAAACAACTGATGCCTCAACATGACTGACTTGGCCACAGCTTCTGTTGTGGCAATGTAATGTCTCGTGGGAATTATGTTCCATACAATCATGATTATCCATTGCACTCGAACATTTATCTGATCGGGTCAGAATCATGTGAGGAGACCCTGAACAAGCCTGGCTTTCTATATCATGTGAGTGCAAGAAATGGCAGGGAGAACCTGGTGACACTCCATCATGAAAGATTGTGTCACAATTTCTATTCAGGAAATGTGCTGTGCTGTGGGAGTTACTATGTTCCAAACAACTGCCATGACTGTCTGTTGAAGTAGTACACTTATCTGCTTCAATCATTATCCTATCTTGAAAGCGTGAACAGCTCTGGCTTTCTCCATCATGTGGTTGGACATTACCTGTCTCACGTCTTCCATGATGACAGAGATTTGGTTCATGGATCTCATCTCTGGACTTGCATTGGTCATGGCCTTCAGTGATTTTAGAATGCTGATGAGAATCATGCTTGTGTTGATGATGGGGGTGGTGGTGGTGGTGGTGGTGAGAAGATTTGCCATTATTGGCATGACACCCACTTTTACGGACGTGTAGCTGAGTGGAAGATCTACAACATTTTCCTCTATGCTTCTCTCTTCTGTGCAGAAGAAGCATGCTGTTTAAGATTACCAACAAGCATGTCCCAACATCAGCAAGAACTGCTGCCCAAACAAGCGGATGACCAGCAATGGCCAAGCCAAGAATTGCAGCCTTAGTCACAATTGACAATATAATATTTTCTATTACTTTCCTACGAGATTTTCTTGCAAGCTTGATCGCTTTTGGTATCTTCCTCATGTCATTTGACATGAGAATTATATTTCCTGTTTCACTTGCTAGTGCAGAACCTGAAATGCCCATTGAAATGCCAATATCAGCTGCAGCTAATGCTGGTGCATCATTCACACCATCTCCAACCATGGCTGTTGGTCCTTCCTTTTTGAATTCTGTGATGATTTTTGCTTTTCCTTCTGGCAAAAGTTCTGCGTGGACTTGCTCCAAAGTATGCCCTAGCTGTAGATAAAATTATTTTGCCCATATTATTTATTCTGTTTCAATCACATTGATTTTATCTACAGGAAGTAAATGCTGAGATTAGAGCAAAGTCACATAACTACAAAATTAGATCAATTCATCTGTCACAGAAAATAACTAAATGCTGCTTCTTGATATAAAATCCAGTACTGGTAAATGTCCGTCCTGCTGAAGATAGCTAGCTAGAATCAAGCCTTATTTAGTTCATATTGAAATGTTTCAGTTCCAAAATTTATTCAGCATGCACCATCAATTTGTGCTCCAAAATTTATTATTTATGCATGAAATTCTAAGTTATCCAAGCATGAAATGAAGTAAGAAAACAGCTAAAAGGAGGAATAAGAAAAGCACACAGCAAATAAGATCTAAAAGAACAAAATTTCAAAAAGAATATTAAATTAAGCACAAAAAATTCAATGGGGAAAAAGGGGTTAATATAATCTTTAGTCCTTCAGGTTTGCCATCATTCTAGTTTTGATTCTTCAAGTTTCAAATCATAGGTTTTGGTCGCTTAAGGAGCAAAATAGTTCAAGTTTTTATTGAATTATGGGAACCAATGTTTTAAATGAAAAAAAACTTGAAAGACCAAAATGAAGACAAATTTGAAGTGTCAAAAATTATATTAACCCACAAAAAAATTTTTTTTTTTCCAAACCTGCTCTTGAGCCTGCATGGCAGCTGCATGGCTATCTCCGGTAAGCATAGAGGTTTTGATACCCAATGACTTTAGCTGCCCTATAGCCTCCACTACCCCAGCTCGGCAAGCATCTGAAAGAGAGAAAACTCCAATTGGAGTTGCTCCTGAGTATATATAGCCAATAGTCTTTCCCCCCTGAGAGCCACCTTCTAAGGTAGGAACTGTAAGTTTGAGCAATTACAGTGAACAGAATCAGCCCCACCAAAAAAAACAATCGACAAGAAAGGTTAATGATAGTATAAGTATCAATATTCTTTTGGCTAAGAAGGATATTGGTGCGAGCTTATGAAAATTCCCTGCCAATATATATGAAGGAGGAACATATTACAATATACTCCTCCGGTCCTAAATATAATACCACTTTTGTAGTGTAAATACACTACAAAAGGGGTCTTATATTTAGGACCGAAGGAGCATGTTACACCAAAATTAGCTGTAAACTTTACTTTCAAACAAAATAAGGCAAAGCTATGTACCTGTCTTAGACTCAGCTCTAGCAGCAATTTTTCTATTTCCAATGTAAACATATCTCTCATCAATTTTTCCACAAATACCTTCTCCAGGAAAATTTTCATAGTCTGTCACCTCTTCTGGCTTAGGATCAATAGAAAGCGACTTTCCATAGTCGATAACTGCTGCTGCCAATGGATGACTTGACTTACTTTCGATGCTTGAGACCCTAGAAAATTAAATCTCAGGTTTCAATTATTTGTATAATCTCCATATGAATGTCGAATCAACAGTATAAATTGCAGGGAAATTATTCCGCCAAGACTTTATGGAGAGCTTACAGAGAGCTTCTCTCATGAGATATCGGATTTTCAGGGAGAGCTTTATTTTTTAAATTTCTTATCTTATGACAGTTTATAATATGTTATATTAATATAGACGTTTGGAAATAGGCCTGACAATTGTCCAATGTCATCATATCTGATATTTCATACAAAAGAAGCCCTATTGTTTGTAAGAGCTGGGAAAGAAATGAAGATCTCACCAGTAAACCAACGTTTTCAAATCTACATCATCACAAAGAGATTGGAAATTCGTCACCATAAATTCACCCTTTGTAATAGTTCCAGTTTTGTCAAAGGCCATGACCTTAACTTTTGCAAGGGTTTCCAGGTAATCACCCCCTTTGATGAGAAGACCTGATGTGGCTGCTTTTGTGTACGCACAGAAAGTCACAACTGGCGTAGAAAGGACAAGGGCGCATGGACATGCACTTACTAGAACGACAAGTGCAAAGTGAAGCCAATGTTTCACATTATGTACTCTAAATAAAACTGGAATCACCGCTATAAGAGTTGATGTGATTACAACAGCTGCAAACATGAAAAGAAAACGAAACCTCTGAATAACACCAACGAATCAATGGAATGGTAGATATATGCTACGGTAAACCACTGTAAGGACCAGCAACGGCATTTTTTTAGGATGATACTAGTTTTTTATAAACATGAGTTCTCAATTATAATTATCAGATTAATGTATTTGCTGTTATCAAGCTTGTCACAAAATCAAAGTGGCTCGCATGATTTTCAATACCTTCTTTACCCTAAACCCTCTCATTTTTTTCACGCATTGTCATGCCTGTGGCAAGAGGCATCAAATAAGTAATGACAGATCCCACATTAGAAGATTAAATGGGAGTCAATAATTGGTCGCCTATAATATTCAAGAACCAATGGAAAATGCTGGAAATGCTGACAAACCTGGAGTATAAAACTTGGCAAACTCGTCTATCAGTCTCTGGCTCCTGGTTTTACTGTTTTGTGCTTCTTCCACTAGCTTAGCCATTTTGGCCACCACGCAATCCTCAGCTAGTGCGTTAGTTTTTACACTAATATAACCTTCAACCAATACATCAAACACATCATCAACATTACAAAAAACAGGGGGAAAACACGTAGGTTTAATTTCAATTACTGAAGGATTACCATTTAGATTGATAGTGCCGGCCCACACAGTAGAGTCCTTTTGTTTGGGTACAGGGAATGACTCGCCAGTCAAAGTTTTCTCATCGACTTCACAGGTTCCGTCTACAACAATTCCATCGATTGGTATCACTTCCCCTGCTTTAACGGCTAGGACGGTGTTCACCTGGACCTCGTCGGCGTCCACAATCTCTCCTGTTTCAGCAATGGTCGCTTTCTGGGGAGCCATGTTCATCAACGATGACATTGCCGCACTTGCCTGAATCCATTGATCTTGGAATTCAGAATTTTTAAAGGCTCGTCGTTCTCGGGGAAATTTTTTTTTTGCCCCCCTTCTTCTGGGTTTTGGTATTTTCAGTTTTCACCTTCCAGGGATGTTTAAGTAATTTTATTTATCATGCAAATATTTTATCGAATTAAAATATAATTACTAGGCACAATTTTTTTTATTGCATAGAAAGAAAGAATGATTATAAATGCATACAAACGTGTTAATTTGCTATTGGCAGCTAAAAAAACGTTGGCAAAAAATTAAGTAAAAAACTTAATACCTTGTGACTTGCTCTTGACTCAAGCCATTCAGCAATGGAGAAGAGGAAAACAATGGTGGCAGCTTCCAAATAATCATGCATGGCTATTGTTCCCACAACTGCCAAAATCAATTATTAAATATTAAATATTAGGCCGTACGGTTTGGCCTTTGAATCTGAGCAGAGCCACTAATATTAAACATGTCGGAAAAAATTTCTCTCTTCCATTAATCACAGAAATTCCAAAAAGATACAAAACAAATTTGTTAGTTCATCTTACCAAAGAAAATTCAACTTCCATGATCAATGGTAATTGGCAAATAGATAGATGCGCATGCTTTTTGTCTTCACCAAATTAATTTTTCAGAGATTCGTATGCAAAATTGCAGATCAATAAAATGTAGACGGTGATGTTTATGTTATTTTACTTCTATCTATCACTTAAATAATTTATTGAGCTGAGCGACAAATTAACACTCTAAACTACAAAAGAAGTGTGTACAAGTTAATAATTTTTAATAATAGGTCTCCATTGAAAATTTTCAATAAAGTTTTTTAATTTATTAACAGACTAAATTAAAATAATCATCACAATGCTTTGTTATGGGTGGTTAAAAAAAATTCCCATTTGTCCTAATATATATACTATACATATCTGAAAAGATTTGGACTTTAATTCTTTGTCCGCATAACTTTTTTTGTGTGTAGAAGTTGCACATATTAGAAAGCAATAAGTTTGTAAAATACATTTGGACGGAGCATAAATGGCATGAATAATTATTAAATCCAAAAAAATATTAAAATTGGTTGATTTTTTTGGTAACAAAATTCTAATTTGTATAACTAAAGATATTACAATGCATCATTTTCTGAGTTTAACAGCCATCTTTTTTTCTTTTTACCAGCGTTTAATTATAAGAGCTAGTTGACTAATTTGAGAAAATTAAGAAAATAAGTTAAGTTAGTTATTTATAATAAATAAGTGTTGTCTTTCTTAAAATATCCTTACTAATCAAGTGTATTGGCTAGAACTACTATTGTTAGAAATATTACCTTGAAAAATATATATAAATATGAGAGATAAAATAAATTGAGATTTTATATTTATGATCAAAATAAAAATTAATAAAATCTCATGTTAAGAATCATTAAGAATCAGAAGTAATATATAATAAAGACACGGCAAATAAAGAAATGAGAAAAATGTAAATGCTTTAAAGTAAAGGTGCCCACTGGCCACTGCCCACCACCTTCTGTTGTCCGAAATGGAACCGCCCTTTATCAAAAGGAAAGAGACGCTAAAAGCAAAAAAAAAAAAAAGGAAAGAGACGCTTTCCTACGTCCTCTGTGCATGATTAAATTATTATATATATGATAGATACAGATTCGACTATTTTCTAACCATTTTTCAGCCTGTGACTCATGCTTTCACTTATTCTGCATTTCAAAGCTAGTTACTTTATATGGAGCTAAAAAAAAAGTTATCTACTTTTTTGGTCCCAAAAAAAATTTCCTACTTTCTTTATTATAAAAAAGAAAAGCAATGACAAGAAGAAGAAGGCAACCAAAGGGGAAAAAGATCAAGATTATTAATTATATAAATCCTTAAAAAACCGCTGAAAAATTTTCTTTTCTAAAATTGATGATATAAAATACTTATTGCCCAAATTTTTGAGTTGGTGCAAGTGTGCAACCCATATTAAGATGCGTTAATATGTGTTCAGTTATATGTAAATATCTTCTTTTTGTATATAATTAAAAATATGTCACGTATAATTAAAGAAGAGTTATACCCGCTCAAAATAAATTGTACATGAATCCATAAAAAAAATTTCATGGGCTTTTGGACAATAATTCTTAAAATGGGAAATATTTTTAGAAATTTTTCCCAAATGGATCTTCCAAGTTGGCCATGAAATATTAATGATATGATTCCAACTCAGGAAAACTTGGGATGAAACGGGTAGGCAAGTTGTATAAGCAAACGGCAAAACAGAATGCATACATATCTGCTCCGACTTGGTTTGTTTGAACGAAAGGCAAAACAAATACGTATCCACAAAAGGATATGTATGACACAGCAAGGATCTCTCCTTCAACTTGAAGACAACGGAATCCTCTCTCTCTCTCTCTCTCTCCTCGCTTCCTTCCCCGCAAATACCGGCCAATTTTTACCCTTGTCCATAAATATTGGGGGTCTCTACAAGTCATTTAAGTTTTATGAAAATCACAAGCAGCCGACTCTAGTTGAAGGCAAAGACAAGTCGACAGTTATGATAAATAAAATTAATTTAATATAGTTAGGTCCCACAAATTAATTTCCGAGACTTATATGATCATACCGTTCTAATTATAAGACCTCGTTTGTAAATTACAATCGAAATCTTATATTCTTCCGATCCTAAATATAAGACCCTTATACACACCTCTCTACTGGTATGTATAAGGGTCTTATATTTAGGACCGAAGTAATTAGGATGGGGGCAGTATATTTCATCCGTTTTTAGATGCAGAAGTAGTTAAGAATGGTGCTTCAATTGCAAGTAGAGGAGAGAGTGGAGGGAGTAGGCGGTACCTGCGACGAGGACGAGGATGTTAATGTCAAGATGAAGGCGGCGAAGAGAGGAGAGGGCTTTGAGAAGAATGGGAAGAAGGCCAGCAGCCACGGCAGCCAAGGCCACATACTGGAGGGGACCGTACACGTATTTGAATAGTGAGAGAGCCAGCAATATACCAGACGCTAATGCGTAAGGGCTCGGCCATTTCTGCTTCTGCTTCTCATTCTCGTCCCCGTACACCCTCACGTTAGCCTCCAGCCTTGCCTGGTTCAGCGCCTTTGCTGCCACCCACCAACACCAATCCCCCCAATGTCAATTTTTCCCCATTCTATAATGCATATCCTTACTTTACTCTATCAAAAAATTGCACAATAATATCTCCTTAAAAAACTAATAATGCAAATATATTCAGGTTCTTAAGCGAGTGCAATTCTTTTTTAATTATGTACAGCATATTTTCATCAGCTGTATGCAAATATTTTTTATTTTGTATATAGTTAAAAATATGTTGCAAACACCTGATCAAATTTCACACACTTTTATCAATTAATTTTCTAACCAAGGACTTTAGAACAAATTTTTCTACTTTATTTCTAATTTTTTAAATATATATACAATTCTCAAATAGGTTCAAATTTTTTTAAAAAAGAAAAAACTCTGCTAGTTCAACTGTTCACCACTTTTATTACCAATTTTGGATGACTCTGAACTCATTGAAACTAGTACTTCTTGATTCTTCCCCTAATTTCGAATTGGATCGTGCGTCCATTCATATATTTCTATTTCTCTTCTATTATTATTGAAGCCAATATAATTTAATGAAATATTTTTTTTCTCTCGCTCATGATCTCATGCCAGATATTATTTTCTGGGCAGAAAGAAAACATTTTCCGCATACTTCCATCCATTCTCATGAACTATTCACATATAAGCATGTTATCTCTTTCCGACAAAGAAAACAAATCTCATCTCCAACCCAAACCGAGCCTAATTGTTGAGGCGTCCGAATTGATTGAACAACTAATTTTGATCTCATGTCGTTGTAATATTGATCCAAGCCAATACGAGAATGATAACAAGAAAAGCCCGGAGAAGTATGACAGAAGCGAGGATTTACCAATTTGAAACTGCGAAATGAGAGTAGTGTCGTGCACGACAATGACGGTTCGAGAAGGGACGATGACCGACACCTCTTTGATCCCTTCCAGAGGTTTAAGGATGTTTTCGATGAGCGGAACCTCCGAGGAACAGCACAATCCGACCACATCGAAGTAGCTCTTCTTCACCTTCCTCCCTGATCCTTCCTGCTTCCTTTCCTGCTCCGTCATGATTGATTATTGAATTAGGCTGCTACGTTACAGAACACACAGAACTGCAATCTCTGTCAAATTCTGCAGATTCCAAAACTTCTCCGAAACAGAGATTCCAGGAATAGCAGAGCTGAATCAGAGGCCTGGAGCGAAGTTTCCAAGTTAGAAGGAGAGAATACGGGGGGGAGAGGGGGGGAGGGAGTAAGGATTAACAGGCGTAAAAGCATGCAAATAGCGATTCAGAAGAAGGTGAGAGGAATTAGAGAAAGGATTACCTGGTGATGTTTAGAATGGGAAAGATGAAAAGTTGATGAAGCAATCGGCATGAATCTGTACGCAGACAGAGGCTTTAAGAGCAAAGAGGAGTGGGGCTTACGAGCGAAGGGCGGTTCTTGCTTTTATAGAACCTTGTGACTCACTGTAATTTTAAATAAACACGGCGTGGGAAAGTTATCAATATCACAATACACACATACATGGTATATACACAGGCTACCTCCCATGCTTAATATGAGACAAATAATTTAGGTAGATTAAAAAAATTACTAACTTATTTAATTATAATATATATTATATGATCTATTTAAAATACTTATATCTATAATTAGATTATAATTCTCTAGTGCTATTTATAAGTCACTTTCAATATGTTTCACACAAATCAATAAAAACATTAACCTTCATTAATTCTCATTTAAAATTCAACAACTTTTTAACTTTATTGCTTTTTAATATACTCCTCTGGTCTTATTTATAGGGCAGAAAGAGAATTTTTTTTGTCTTATTTATAAGTCATTTTATTAAATTTTTACTATGAATGTACTATATTGTCCTTCATTTATTATAGTGTATATAGTTATTTTTTTTAAAAGGTGTATATATTAAATAAGGATAAAATTGAAAAGTTGCTATATTTTAATGAAAAGTTAATATAGTTTAAAGTTTTTTTTCGTCTGTGTAAAACATGTTGGAAGTGTCTTATAAATAGGATTAGAGGAGTACAATATATCTTATAAGAATACAGTCAACATAATATGAAAAAAAAATTTCTCTCTGCTCTATAAATCGGATCAGAAGAGTATATCAATTTATAAATGAGATAAATAGTTTAAAAAATAATAAATAGAAATATCTTAAAGTAATTTAATAATTTTATTAATCTCCTCAAATTAATGAACCCATATTAAAGGAAGAGGAGGTAGCATATTAAACGCATCATTTATGAACATGGGCTAAAGGGAAGAGGAGGTAGTATATTAAACGCATCATTTATGAACATATCCGGTTTCCTAAAAGAAAGTCCCAACAGAATCCAATGTCATCAGTACAAGAAAGAGAATATGACATAGAAGGACTGGAAAGAAATATAATCACAATTAAGGCATCAAATTGGGAAGATTCCAACAATTAAGGACAAAAGTATTTTTTTGATCTTAAAAAAAAGTTAAGGATCAATATCTCATACTTGGTTGAGAGCATGCGGAACGTGGACTTTTAAAATTCGGAAGATTAATTGCAGGAATAATAAAGCTTAATTGTAAATATCTTTTGAGTAATTTATGTGATTCATGATTGAAAATTGTTCATTTATTTATTTACAAGCTAAATTTTCACATTTCAGAACTCGATTACATCGTGAATTTTAAAATAAGGCTTTGGATAATCTAATTATTGAGTTTATTTGATTTGTTGTGACATTTTTCGTAATTTTCCATTAATTTTTTAAATTTTAGAACTCAAACAATATACTGAAGAATCCAAAAGTGGGGTTTCAATGTTAAATAAGCGTTTGCTTCTAATATTTTAGAAGTCGTTATATTTCCAATTAAGTTTAGTCTATAAACAATTCTTTTAGGCACCAACGTCTTTTTTTTGGATTTCTCCTCCGGTATCCCAGGGAAATAAGCGTCTTTCAGCCGTGACAACGTCCCCAGACTAATCCGGATCGAGGGCTTGCAAGGAACCTTTCGGTCGGCGCCCTCTGGCCCCTCAGGGTGCTGCATTCCCACAGCTTGAACTCGAGACCTATAGTTAAGCTAGGACAGCCCCAGCCAGCTGACCTAACCCCTCGGGGTTTAGGCACCAACGTCTTTAGTTGTTATTAATTTAAGCATCATAACTATCGTTATGTCTCTAATAAGATTCTTGTATGTCATTTCCCCTACATGTCAGTTAGTTCAAAGAGACGATGACAAACGAAGAAGACGTAGGAATATCAGTGTAAAATGAAGGCTTCTAAAGCAGTAAATATTGAGTAGAAAATTTGGATGTTTGCATAATAAGTCCACATTTTTGGCCGAAAAAGGTAATAAATCCTTATTATAAAGAATTGACTTATAACCCATGTATTTTCAAACCTTGTTTGAGTGAGTAACCTATAAATACCTTTATAAGCTCTTTTTAAGTTTGAAATAATATGATTTATCAAAAGTTCTATACATATAGGGAAAATGTGCTATTTTTTAATAAAAATAGTGATAGATAATTAGAATAACATTCTCCTTGATCCTAAATAGAAGAATTAGTAGAAGAGTTTGCTATAATATTAAATATAAAACCTTAATCTACTTTATTTTTTTGAATTTATAATTTTGTTGAAAAAAATCTCCCTATTGATTAACATATATTAAGAAGATTTTTTTTAATCAAGAGAGTAGCATTCAGTACAAATAATTATTAAGAGGAACATACATTTTAGTGAAATCAATAAAAATGTTTTACAAATAATTCATTTATTTAATTCTTTCAATTAAAAATAAAATTAGAGTGATTCATTTTTAGTTGAGGACGGTATTGTTAGTGGAGAATTAATGCGACATCTATGGGGTCCAACACTAACATCCACGACTTCTTGTCATTTATATTCCGTATGACTTTGTTTGATCTCAAAATCCCGCAAGAATCACTAACTCAAAGTGGTTAACATGGTAGGGGCCGGCTTTTATATATTAAGTAAATAATTAAAGATTTAATCCCCTCACTTATTGCATGTGGATTTAGTCATTGAATCTTATATAATAAATCCGGCCTTAATTATAAGATTTTATTTATAGTTAGAACTGATGCTAATATAATAGATCCAATGACTACAGTAAACCTTTGTAAAGGGTGATTTACCCAAAATTTTAGAACAATACTAGGAGTGAGAAACCGTGCTGGCATTCCTCTTATGTTTTGCTTGGTATGAGGCAAGGAGAGGGGAGACAAAATTTTGATGGGCTCACTTTTAAAAAATTTTAAAAGTGGAGTTAAAATTTTTTGATTAATTTTAATTACTTTTTTATTTTATATTTTCTTTTTATTAAAATTTTATAACCTCATTTTTAAAATCGAGCTTACTAAAATTTTCTCTCCTCTCTTCTTCTCTTTATTTTTCTCATACTAAACAGAGTGAGAAGACTGCTTCCCAACACACTCTAACACATTAATGAAAGACTCTTTATACAGAGCCTCAATTATCTAACTAAAAGGAGCATAATCTCTCTAAAATATATTATTTGAAATATAAAAAAATAACAACTCAATTCATCATTATTTGTTTCTTTTTCGCGGCCTTTTTGGAGATAGACTTTCTAGCTGTCCCAGCCTCCCACTACAGTTATTAAAAAAAACAAAAACAAAACAAAACTTGTGTTGAATCGCTGCAATAATTCATGGTCAATTTCGCATTTTGACTCTTATGCGGTGTGCCGGTGTGTCAGTAAGATTTGGTCTGTTATGCGTCACGTCTGCGATAATTAGTTCATTATTTGGGTCCCCAAAAAAATTAATGAATTGTTTCTTTTACAAAAATTATTAAAATTAGTTTAAAATAATAAATATATTAAAAACATTTTTAAAAATATATCCTTATTTATAAATAGATAGGTTATAAGTATGAGTAAAAAAAACAGAGAGAATTTATAAGAAAAAGTTAATGAAAGAGAATATATTAATTAAGCATAAAGTAGGTAAAAATATATTTATTATTTAGACAAACTCAAAAAAAATCTTATAAAAAAGAATAAATCAATTCAAAAAATTGAATTTTATAATAAGGAAAGGGAGAGTATAAGTTGTTAATAATAAATGAACATATGGGGCAAATAAAAACTTACATATACAAATAAAAATGATGGTGTCAAATGTAAGTTGTTATTCACTTTATTCCTCTTGAATAATATTGAGATATTAAATCTTGCAAATAAAAATAAATAAATTATTGTTGCCAATAGATTTATTTATATATTACATATATATAATACTTGTATCAGTCTAGAGAAACTCGTCGAGTCGCCGGCCAAAGTTAGCCCGTTGGTATTGACTGAACAGTTTAAGGGGGTGTTTGGGTAATCCCATAATCACTTTTCAAAAATATTTTTTGCAAATCGAGACAAATTCCTTCACATATTTACTTCGTATACTATAAAAACACTTCTGAAACCATAGTTTTGTTCTTATCCAAACACCCCCAAATTGAGGAGCTGGTTGTCAATTTTTGTTTTGATGTTCAAGTTCTGTTCTTCTAATGGTACAGTCACATAATTAATTTATTCCAACAAGGACATACGAGATATTCATTCGGTTGTTAACAAAACAACTCTACTTAATTAATTTGAATAAATTAAAAAATTTTAGATAAATTATTTAATGAGTCCTTAATATAACAGATAGATAATTAATTTGAAAATATTAAGAAAATTACTTAATTTTGTTATTTATAGTAAACTGGTGTTATTTTTTCTAAAATATCCTAATTAATCATATGCATTAAAATAATTCTTACAATCATCATAGATAATTAGATATTATTTGAGGGCAAAATAAATAACTAAATACGAGAGATAAAATGAATTTAAATATTATTCTTAATACCAAATTAAATAGTTAACTAACTTTTATATTAAGGAGATAGTAACAAATATGACAAGATCTTCATAAAATATCTTTATGCAATATCAGTTGATAAATTAGGTACATTAATTTGAAATAAATGATAAATATAAAAGATAAAATCGATAATGAACTGTCAAACTAGCTCCAGCTTCTAGAACTAGAGGAATAATATTTTAAAATGATTAAATCAGCAAATTTCTTAGACGCAGTTTTGATTCATCCTTTGCTAAAAC